TTACTCTAAAAGAGCGCTTCATATCAGCTTTAAAATATAATATTTTTTTTACAGTTTTATATGGATGTTTACTTGGTTTACTTACTATTCTCTTATTTCTTCAGTAAGTTATATCTTTGGATTAATATATATTATTGACACAATTTACGATGACATGCATATCTCTTCTATAAATTTGAGACAGATATAAGGTGTTATTTTATATTTAGTGGTTTTTAATAAGAATTTTGCTAATGAAATATACTACATTCATACTTAGAGATCTTTCTTGAATTCTAATTGTGCTATTACATCATTATCTTTGGTAGTGTCTTTAAGAATTGATCATTCGTTAGTAGTCATACCCCTAAATAAAGTCAAACGCAGGGTCGTGATACTATATAAGAAAAAGAAAAAGATCGATTTTATATTTTTTGCTTACGCAAAGTATAGTAATTTTTTAATCTTCTATGAAGGATGTTTCTTTGATGAGCACAAAGTTATTCAATATATTCTTCAGGGGGTATTCAGTCGGTATTTTTATAAATATAACTTATGTTAGTATTAATTGAAGTGATTCATGGACGTTCTAAATTCCATTTGAAATAAAAACCGCTTGATTCTTTTGAAGGATATCTCTAAATTTTCTAATAGTTCTCCATACATAAATCTTTATAATTTTTTACCTAATAAATATTATTTCCATTAGAGATTAATATTTATAAATTATAATCAATTAATGTTAAACTATTATATTATAGTCTTTTATCACCTTTTTATGATTTAGTCTTCTATCAATTAATAATACTTATGTATTTTTGGTGTTCTAACATATTAGTAAAATTTTATGCAGTTACTTTAATTTATACAATAATATTAATTTTTAATCTATCATATATTTTTTAAAATTTTTATTATTTAGCTGAATATTTTTAATTTGTTATTATTACTATTTTTTACCAGTATCAAATTGACTATTTTTAGATTCTAAAAATGGATAGTAAACCTTAAATTATAAGGTATATTTATATATCTTAATGAAAAAATATCACACAACTACTCTTTTCTTTGCCAAGTTCTAAATTTTTAGCTTTTTATTTTGTGTAGTTTTAAAATTTTGAGAGTATTTTGTCTAATTTTCAAATCTTTTTGCTTTTTTTTTTGTAATACTTCATGTAATAAACTGATAGTATGGAGATGTTTCATATATTTTATTAATCTTATTTAAATTGTTGAGCTATAGATAGTTCATTGGTTTTTAGGATAGGCTATAAGTATGATTAGTATAGATTATAATTTAAATTAAATATTTAAAATAGTATAGTGTAATTTTGACCATGGAAAGCTTTTCCTGAACTCGTGCTTTTAAAGGGAGTATGCTTTTTTATTTTCCTTAATTTTTCTTTTTTATAATTTTGAGAATGACTTTTATCTCTTTAATTTGTTTGATGGATTTTATAAATATCTCATCCACATTATGTATATTTGTTGGTCTATATTGTTCCCGGGTTCGGCCTTTGGGGTAGACATTATTTGTCTCATTAATTTATTTATTTTTCATATATGCCCTTTATTTTGTAGACATTTATAAATTTGATATTTAATAATTTTATTTAGATTTACATTTTAATTTAAATTATATCCTTATCTTTATATTATATATATATCCAATAAGAATTCATCAACTTATCAACTTACTCTTACTTAATGGAATAATATTTGAATTTTAAAGGTATTTTTGTCTACCAAAAGATTTTTCCGAACTCGTGCTTTTAAAGGGAGTATGATAACTCCTTCTTTGTGTTTTTTCTTGCAAAAAAATAAAAATAAAACCACCTCCATAAGGTGACAGAATGAAAACTATTTTAAAGTTCAATTAATACGGAAGCCACCTTGAAAGAGATTCACATAGAGATCAACCAAACTTGGCATATTTTAAGTGGAATTTCCGTTGAATCCTAAAATTGCCCTTAAAAACATACATGTCGCACACACTGTATATGCTTGGATAATAAGTTTATGTCATATGTCTGTTATGTGTATGTTTTAGGAGTATGTTGAGAATTTCAATTAAAGGTTCCTCAGGAAAAATGTTAAGGTGGTTGACTGTTACCAGAACAACCTTTAAAGATTGACATCTTTATTAATTGAAGTTTTAAAGGTGGTTTTCGTATTCCAAATCTATTTTAAAGGTGGTTTATGTGTAATAAGAAATAAAAATAGGGAATAAAGAGAGCACTAGTACAAAACAAGGGAGTCCAAACGGGTTCAACCATTTAGACAAATACTGTCCCAAACGGTTATAATTGTTTGGATGTCCAAAAGAACCGTTTTGAGAAAAGCTGTTGGCGATGATTGTACCCTAATAGTCACCCAAATGGTTCAAACTGTTTGGCCAACTTTCCAAACGGTTATAACCGTTTGGTCTATTAAAACTAGTGCCGACGGTGTAAACTGTTTGGGCAGATATTAGTCTAAACGGATTAAACTGTTTGGGTGTATATTAGTCCAAATGGATTAAATCATTTGGGCTGATGTACGTCCAAACGGTTTTAGCCGTTTGGAGTGATCTTTGCCCAAACGTTTGAAACCATTTGGACTATCATCTACCAAAATGGTTTAACTCGATTGGACAAATATTGGGTGTCTATTGTCAAAATCCTTCCATGCAAACGTATATCTAAGATGACTCACTCGTCTGTTTTTACTTGGACAAGCACGATGATGCCAGGTCATTGCCATTGCTATTTTTTTTCACTTGAATAGCCTTTGCAGCCTCTGTGTTATGGAAAAGTATCGTATTATCTTGATGGATATATCTTTCTTCTAACTATGTACTTTCTTCTTATATCTAGCCTCTCTGCAAGTAGGACACTCTATCTTATCTGAATTTTCTTTCTAGTAAAGTATACAATCATTTGGACATACATGAATCATCTCACACTTCAGACCCAAATTGGACATTGTCTTTTGAGCTTCATACCAGCTCTCAGACACATTGTTCCCCGGAGGCATAGAATCTTTAAAAAACTTGAGGAGCATCGTAAATGACTTGTTGCTCCATTTATTTAGACATTTAATCTAGAATAGATAGATGAACCATAATAGCGTGAAGTATTTTACATTCTCATAACTTGACCTCCTAACACAATTCATGTGTTTATCATAATTGTCTTCACACTGTCCTCCTCCGGAAGGAAGATCTTTAGTAGGGTTAGTGCTACCAAGAGCAACCTCGACCATTTTCTCAATTTCCTCAACGAGAAATAAGTTGCCTTCTTCTTGTTCTTCTTCATATGCATCACTGAGGCCTTCAATTTCTCCATGATACACCCAAGTTACGTAATTGCTAACAAAACCATTCTTCAATATGAAGTTCTACTTCTTCCTCCAACTAATGCAACTTATTCACACATAATTTATATGGACAAATGAGCCTTCGTCGTCGAGCCATATCATGTCTACGTGCAAAGTCCATGAAAGCACTAACTCCATTAACAAAAACACAGTGCATGCGTTCTACACGACCCACATACATCCAATTGTTATCTCTTATGTAGTTACGGGTCATGCTAACCTATACAAAATGATTTATTAAAAACAACTTCTATAAATATGGATTTAGGGAATAGTCTAAACATGATCATGACTTGGCTTCGAACATAGTGTTACAATTAAGGTTACTTCGTTTTCAATGTTGGGAGATGATAGATTTTTCCTAGTGAATCTTGTGAATCAGGAGATCCATATATGGAGCATTACAGATGATCCACAGCTTATTATGAGATATAGAGGTAATAAGCGTAGTAGGTTCTTGATAAGATCTTGTTTCAGAGGTAGCGAGCATGCTTCTATAGCTAGTGGAAGTGAATACTCACAGGCACAAAATGAAAATAGATTATTTTCATTTTGTTTTTGTTGCCTTCTATGATTTTTTATTTAGTTGTTGAATTTATCAAAGTAGCACTCGGAAAATTTTTCTTCAGTAATATGTTCTTTTACGATCCTAAATGGAAGAGCATAGTTAAAAACAACTAGGGAGCTTACAAAATTCAAGGAAAATATTCTAATTGCAGAATTTTATTAAAAGCACGTGCCTTAAGTTGTAGTTTTGCCCCCGGATTTTTTATTTTCGTGCCTTTGAAAACTGCAACTGATGTTTTTATTTATTTTTAAAAATTTAGTAGAACCCTCTCAATACAAATTTATATATCAAGGTAAATTTTTTAAAACCTTGGATTGATGTTGCATCGATTAGATGGTGCTTGCTTAGGATAACAAACTCATTAAATGAATTATGCGTGTTTGATTTTAGTAATTCACATGTTTTGTTCCTCTGCCTAGAATTTTAATCAGTTTGGAACCAATGATGAAAAAACGATTGCATGAATATCACAATACGCAACATCATACATTGCATTAATTTTCATGAATAACCAAAAAATTCAGAAAATTCAAGATGATAGCAGAAAAAGCTCAATATCTCCTGAAGATAACAAAATTTTCAGAAATTATCCTAAATATGTCTGCTAGAGAAAGAGGATGTCCGAGGAAGAGCATGCGACATAGAGAAGTCAATTAATTTACTGTAAATAGGGAAAATTGGGTTAGATGGTCAAATTAGGTTTAGGGTTTTGTACAGAGAGGATAGTATTTACAAAGGAGAAGGGGGCGACTTGAGGACAAGGCAACAACGGGGTAGATGCTGGAGGAGGAGGCGGTGGAGGCAACAACGGGCTCCGACCATGACGGAGGCGGCGACGTCTTCCGTGCGCTTGGTACCAGCGTCGAGGTCACCGATGGGACGAAGTCCAGCAGGGGGAGGAGGTGAGCCCGTCGGAGAAGATGTTGCCGTGAACAAATTGGGTTAGGGATTTGAGAGGCGCACGTGGATTGTAGATTGACTTTGGGGTAGGGATGTCAATTTTGGCCCATACCCATTTACCCATCCGACCCGCCCATTATTTGACCCACCCAAAACCCACCCATTTAATTAAATGGGTCTAATTGGGCGGGTCCATGTTATATTCCTCTAAATGGGCACTAAATGGGCAGTGCTTATTTGCCCGTTTGCCCGCCCAGCCGTATACCCAAAACGAAAACAAGACAAAACCCGATCCCATCTCCTCTTTCTCTCTCTAGGGCAACTGAGCCGATCCCAATCTCCTCCGCCTCAATCCCGATCTCAATCACTCCTCCGCCTCCTCCTCCGCCGCCTCAAGTGCCTTTTGAACCCAAAACCTACGACGCCAATCGATCCTCCTCCGCCTCCTCCGCTGCCGCAATCGCTGATTCGTCTCGTTGCCCTTGTTCTGGTGTCGATTCCTTCGTCCATGGCGTCCAATCGCAGTGCCCTATTTGGATCGAGCAGTGTTCGCCTGAGCAGGTAACTTTCCCCAATTTTCTGATTTTTTTATGAGGAAAGGGGCTTATGGCATTTTATAATAAAAGGTTGAATCTTTTGTGCATTTAGCTGGATTGAGGCGTAATTCCTGGGATAGTTTGGATTTTTTGGGAGTTAGGGATTTGATTTCGAGAAAAATTTGCCCCTTTTCTTTGCAATATGATTAACAATCAAATAGCTTTTACTCTGTTCTTTCTTTTCTCCATATATGTCATGTGGGATGTTTGAAGGGAATGCATTTGTGACTGATCACAATCAAATAGCTTTTCTCATCTTCATGTCCTTACTTTCATGTACCAAATGTTCTTTTCACCATAGTCTTTGAGGAAAAGGTCCATATGTGTTACTAGCAATGCTTTCTCTTTAATAGTTTTACATTTCACTTTGAAAATTATTCTTATACCAATGGTTTTCCCTTATTAAATGGTATGGATAAGTTCAGCGATGCCGCAAGTAGCAATGTTTTATCTTTTAATAACATTTCATTTTGCTATGGAATTCCATCCTTGTAAGAAGAATATGTTACGATAATTAAATTTTATTAGTAACTTCAGTTACATTGTAATAATTGTGTAATGGCTTGTTGAGCTTCTGTCATGATTCTGTTCATGCCTACTGAGATGTTCCATGGGAGTAAGCATCAAGTTCTAAATGTTGACTTGCTATGATTCTGGCTAAAGTTTCCTTTATGTTTTTATATCTACTAAGATATATTTCATAGACTTTTCATTCTTCTGTCATTACAAATGTCACGTTTAGTTTTATACCTACTGCATGATATAAATGATTATGTTTACCTGAAATTATTATGTATCTGTTTTGGGTTCTTTCATTTGCATGTGGAGGTCGAAATGTGGTGGTCAAACTATGAAGGCGGTGCCTACTAGTTATCATTAATAATTTGTTTCTAGTAACTTGATCTGTTTTAAGAACCTGTACATGACGGTCTTTTCTTGGAAAATTGCAGTTCTAACTAATATTTTTGACGTTGCAGCATGTTCACTACAACCTGTAGGAGGCTGAGGATCATGAAGGGTTCGGATGCAATTGGACTTGGTATGTGCATGTTTTGTACATTTTACATACATATTCTTCAATTTTTAGCTCCTAAGTATGTCATTTTTCCTCAAACTACATAATCTAGTGAATAGACACATTGAAAGAGAGGAATAAAAGATGGAGATGGATGGCCTTCTCTATTAAAGGTCACCAAGCTCTTCCTAATAAAGAGCTTCAACATAATTCTCCAGCAAAATTTTATAGCTCAAGACAACAAAGAACGTCGTCGTAATCAAACTCCGTCTTCACTCAATTAAAAGAGTGGCCCAAAAATAAAAAAATAATCATCAGAATTTAAAGTAACTGATCCAAAAGCAAGAAGCAACAAGCTGTAACAAATTTAAAGTAACTGATCTATCAGATTAATTTTTGTAAATTGATCAGGATCCCTCAGCTCAACCTTCCTCAATGAGCTACGTCATCAAATAATAACTCTTTATTTTGATAAACAAGCATGTTGTTAGCACTTAGTTTGCTTCTCATGCAATTTAATGCTTGCTTCTTAATACAAGCTCACGTTGATTACATAATACATTACACCTATTTTACTGGTATTAGACATGTATATCAATCAACAACCAGTTTAGTCACTAGTGCAACTATGTTAGCTACCTGTATCAAGTAGGATTTACATAGAATTCAGAGCTTTCATTTTTATAAAAAAAAAAATAACTTGGTGTCCATCTCAACCTGAACCAACTAGCTTCGAACCTGTGTTGTGTCTTGTTTGGTGGGAGTCCTGTCAGGTCTGAATTACTCATATCTCATTCATGTACCTGCTTTATCCAGAATAAATCAATTTGCATGAATCTTAACCTGAACCTACCCCTTTGAACTTGTGTCATGTTTTACAAGAATGATGTCAACTGAGTTAAGAGTTAAGAGTTAAGAGTTAAGAGTAGTCCACCAGCCTCTAAAGATTTATTCACCTTCCTCTTATGTGTTTCACTATTATGACAATATCATACGTTTGTGGCAAAATTAACTAATTCTATGGATGATTGATGTAGGGGAAATATTGAGGTCTCTATGGTGATTTCGGATTCTAACCCTTGCTATGAAGACGCACATATGAGGCTTGCTGCAGTACTCTTAATGTTGCTATTGAGTCCAACTGAGTGTTATGTTTGTTTCCTGGTCTTTTCTTTCTTTTGTCATGATTCTGTTCATGCCTGAACATTTGAAAGATGGGAAATAAGTGGACTATGGTTGTGCTACTATTTTGTTTATAGACGAACTTACTACTCTTCTAGTTTATCAAGTAATTAAGTAGATTGTCCTTACTAATCGTGATCGTGTTGCTGATAGTTATGATGGCATTTATATCAAGTTATTGATCTTATACAGATCCTTACATACCTTGTGTTTTCTATCTTGATTCATTTAAATATTCTCGCAATTTTGTTGTTATTGATCTTTTGGTTTTTGGTTTGGAAATCTGAGGTTAATTTTGCAAGTGTGTGAGGTATGTACTTTTATCCAGATTTGCAAATGGTTCAATCATGAACTTGTCTGTTTTTGTTTGTTTATCTTCCTATATTTGTTGGTATTTTATCAAAAGCCCTAACAAATTTGCAAAAAGCTCCCAAAAAGTTTGCAAAAAGCCCACAATAGTTTACAAAAAACACCCCAAAAGTATTATATACATATAACTACTATAGTTAAATGGGCAAATGGGCGGTCCGTTTATTAAATGGGTGGACAAAAACCCGCCCATTTAAATAATGTTAAATGGGCGATAAATGGGTAAATGGGCAAAATATGCCCGCCCATTTATGACCCGCCCATTTAATGCCCAAACCCACCCATTTAACATCCCTACTTTGGGGACATTGTTTGGGGGGAGCGGGTTTAGTATAGGGAGAGAACGGAGAAAAGAAATAAGTTTTATTTAAAAAATAATAATTAAAACTTCAACCGTTTGGGCTAATACTCCCAAATGGTTTAAATTGTTTGGGCAATGCGTTTGGGATCTTTCTAAGGCCCAAACGGTTATAACCGCTTGGGTCATATTATCCCATACGGTTTAAACGGTTTGTGTTATTTTTACTTGCCCAAAAGCTTACGTGAACTGTTTGAATTGACCATATTTGTACTAGTGGAGAAACGTTTGCAAAGGCAAATGAGCGTTTCTAGTAAATTTGTTTTGTTCGAATATGTGTTTGTTTGGTTTATTAGAGCATCTCCAACAGCTTCACTATTTCCCACTTTTGGAGAATTTAGTTAGGTTTTTGGTCCGACAGATTCTCCATCTCATTCTCCAAAATAGGGATGGAGGAGAAAAAATAGGGAAGCTTCCCCAAATCTGCAGCATTCTCCAAATTTTGGAGAAAAAAAGAGATTCTTCAAAATGGGGAACCTGTTGGAGTTGGTGTAAAAATTAGTTGGAGAATATGACTTTTGCTTCCCCATTTTGAAGAAAATTTTGGGGAGTTGGTGTAAAAATTAGTTGGAGAATATGACTTTTGCTTCCCCATTTTGAAGAAAATTTTGGAGAAGCTGTTGGAGATGCCAATTAGTTGGAGAATATGACTTTTGCTTCCCCATTTTGAAGAAAATTTTGGAGAAGCTGTTGGAGATGCCCTTAGAGTACAACTACTCTAGTCAATTTTATGTGCATGGTTATGGTCATGCGTATACGTTCACATAATTGTGTGAGTAATGTGACATTGTATATATTAATTTATATATATGTTAGTGTCTTGTTCGTCCAGGACATGCACCAACTTCTCACACTGAGCTTGCTTTCCTATTAGCACTATCGGGAATACTTAAGTGGGCCCAGCCAACATAAATGGTGGTTTAGGAATTGAGATAGTTCTCTTCGAGATCTATGATTTTTCCTTCATTTTCCCTCCATGGCTGGAATTCCTTTTCCCCCCGTTTTATGACTTCCATATTTCCACTTTACTAGTTTTTATGCACGTGCAATGCATATGATTTAATATCAAAATAATTTATTTTTTATTTTATTACTATAAATAAGTCAGATTCATTTTAATTATTAGATTTGCTATAATTTTTATTTAAACATCATAAAAAAATTGATGTGATGGATTTTTATGCTAAACTAGGATCAATATACTTAACTGGGATATCATAATTGATTTTCGCAGAAAAAATATCAGTTGACATAATAATATCTTCAAGCAGAATAGTAAAAGAAAATAAGTTAAATTGATACTACATGTCATATTCTAAACTCTACTAATCCCAAGCTATAGTATGGAGTTAATAATGAATAACAATATCATTATGAACTATAGTTCTAGCAATAAAAATTTAACATTTCTTATTGCATTGAAAATAGAATTACACTGCACTTTTCAACATTATAAGCTCATGTTTTATAATAAACAATCTCAAAAGCACTTTTGGACATTATAAGCTCATGCTTTATAGTAAACAATCTCAAAATTAAACATAAAAAAAGAAGCACAACAAACATGATACACACACACACATACATACGTATATACATACATATGAGATCTCAGCCTACATTATTTGATAAACTTAAAATAATAAAATGACAAAACTAAAGATTAATGGTAACTACGATATAATTTTATGTGATAAAAGCAATCACATAAGCATACAAAAATACTAAAAATTTTGCTTGAAAATTCATTCTAAAAATTTCTAATTTTACTCCAAAATTAAGTTATAATATAAAATGTTCAAAAAATATTATCATTTATTCTTTTTATTTTATATTTTAATTGAGTCAAGATCAATCTTTCTCTACCTTTATTTTTTTTATTGGACAATTCTAGAGTAGCATCTTCATCAATTGTAATATCAGGTTGGAGTTGAATTTCTTAAAATTAATCTCTTCAAATAAAAAAGTCCAACACCAAAATCAACCTACTAGTCTTCTGCTCCCCCCTTAAAAACCATAACCCTAATCTATGAAATGGGTTTGTACATAATGAAGAACAAAAGACAATGTCAAGAGACAAAAAAGAAAAAAGAAGGAATTGAATAAGAATCGCTAGGTTTGTGTACATGATAAATAGCAAAAGACAAGATAAAAGTCCAGAAATATATAATTAGGATATACTTGGATCAATTAAATTATATTATTACTCATAATTAATATGCATAAGAGACAAAATGTGTTGACAATCTTAAACTATAAAACAGACTGTATGGGCCCTCTAACGTAATTTTTTAATGCAAGCAACCCCCAAGATTAATTTTGAAAATCTCTTGGTTTTGTGGAAGAGTTTAGGTGTAAAGAACAAATGTTAAATTATCTAATCCGATTAAAGTATGATCATATAAGTTAACCCCATACATAAAATTTATTTTAACCAAAACCCATATATAAGTATTATAATTGGCATTAAGATTAAAGATGCGTGTGAGATTCTCTTTGACTTTTATACAAATAGTATCTATTTAAATAATAATAGTAAGCAAAAGAGGAATAATAGAATTTTTCAAGGGAAAGCAAGAGAGCCTGATGATCTCTTTCGAGTAATTAAGTATTCCATCTATTCCAAAATTCTAAATGAAGATATACCTGTACATATGAAAGAAGAACTTAAGAGGTTGTAGTGTCTGTATCTCTGTTTTTTTTGGTTACCAGGTCAAGTTCAAGCCTGGTTCTAGATGTACACAATTTCCTTATTTGGCTGATGAATAAAAACTTTAATTCATTAACCAAAAAATAAATAAATAATAATAGTATAATTAAACTTTGTGATTTGAAAAGAAATTAAACATACAATATAATTAATTACTTTAAAATAGTCTAATCTAATCTAATAATAAGAAAATAGATGAAAGTACTATGAAAGTTATTGCAATTTTATAATTCATAATTCTTAAATAATCTAATCTATTCTAATAAGAAGAAAATAACAAAGACACATACTTGTTGAAGGAGATAAAAGTACTATGAAAATTATTGTACTTTCTTGATCTGAAAAAAGATCAAATATACAATATAATTAATTACTTTAAAATAATCTAATCTAATCTAATAACAAAGGCACACATGCCTATAGAAGGAGATAAAAGTGCTATAGAAATTATTATAATTTATTGGCTATATATTTTGCTATATGATATTGCATGTGAGAGGATAACAATTGTAAATAGAGTTCTATTTTAATAATTATTGTATAATTAAATTTTAAAGTTAACTATGCAGTACTTTGAACTGTTGTGTGCTGAGCAGAAGCCAAACAACCAAACGTCGAGATAGAAGGCTAAACAATCCAATATAACGACACAAACTCAAACAAACAATTTTAAGGTGGTTCGGAAAGTTGCCTACGTCCACGGAGCAAGAAGGGGATGGAGTTTTCACTAACAGAAAAGAAGAGTACAAACTGAGATTACAAGTCGTTCAAAACAATCAACTAATCTCACCAACAAAGCTCTTAATCTCTCCAAATAAAACCATGAACAATAGCTCAGAAAATACCTCTTTTATGTGCTCTAAATATCCCCTCAATTATCACCAATTAAAGCCAAAGAAACCCTAATTTGTATTTGGTATTTATATCAAACTCAAATCCTAAACAGAACAGAAAAGCAAATACTGGGCCTGACCCAACTAACGGTCCCCCGCCACAAAGCTCGCGATCGACCGTAATCAAACGACAGAACCAGAAAACTCCTACAGGGTCTGGCGGTCGATCGCGAGCTTCGCGATGATCGACCGTACCAAATCCAGACTCATACCCAGAGTTTGTGCACGATTACGGTCGACAGGACTTGCACCCACGGTCGACCGTACAGCTCAAAAAACGAACCCTGAGCTCCAAAACTTGTTCTTCTCTAATTCTTTCACCGATTCTATAATTCTCCACTTTGGCAAAGTTTCTTCCAAAATTGAGCCGACACCGACCAAAAAAAATATCACACTTATTGCGTCCAGTACGAAGTGGAACAAAACCACGACAATGGACTCAATCCACAATAAGTCGAGACCCTAATGTGAATGCGATCACTCTCCAAACATCAGTATCTACTCACTAAATCGGCCGCATCATAAATGACTGCCTACATACCCTCTTTCCTAATGAATCAAGCCTTCATGCAGTTCCCTAAATGGCCTCCAGAGGCCCTCAATCAAATAGAAAAGTTTACAACTCTTCACCAATATCACCAATGGTTCTGTAACTGATAGTGCCCTGAATGGTCCCAAACTGAAACAAATCAAACACCTCCACCTGAGTGAACCAATGGTCATATCCAAACTACGTCTACCAGCTGCACTCGAATGAAAACCAAACTCATCATCTGCATCCAAATCCAAATGATCCTTTAACTGTGTCACCTCGGCTGGAATCCCAAACGATACAGTATGATCTAGAGTATGTGGAGTAATCTCCACCTAA